TCAATGTTTGCCCAGTATTAATTTTGCCCTTAAAATGTAGTAACTAAATAGGGTATGCAGTTTATTTGTATTCGCTCTCATGATAAGTTTGCCCTCATTGCAAAGGGCAAAAAGGAGAAAATTAAACCTCGGCGAAGATTTCCCGGTATATAGTACCAATAATTAACACAGATATAGATTAACTGGTCAGAGCTTGGGGTAACTTCCTGAATCACTAACGATATATAGAAAATCCCACATAATAGCCAGTTTGTCTTTATTGTGATAGCGCAGGATGATTAAAATCACCCTAATGTAAATGGCAATATATTCAACATCAACTAGTAGCTCATTAAGAAATGTTTTACTTTGTAACGCTGTAAATATATAGATCTAGAAATTGTCATTAGCAGCATGTGACCTTTCCATAAAGTAAACAACAACCTTTACCTACACTATACAACAATGTAGCTATACTTATGTGGTGTGCCCACATCGATGTAGCTATACTTATGTGGTGTGCTCACATCGATGTAGCTATACTTATGTGGTGTGCCCACATCGGATAATCTCCAACACTTCGGATGCAATATAGTGTCTGAGCTAGGGCATATAATTACATTGACGAGCAATTCTGCTTTCGAGGCTCTCATAAAATAATCAAATTCTGACGACCTCTAACATTTCACTAAGTGTACCTAGAGGCAGTCCATTCACATCAATAAAGTCGATTATTTCTGCAATTACATTAAATTAATACAAATAAATGGATTACATACATTATGATGTACCTCCTTGCCTAACAGACATAGAAAAGCACTGATCCTACAGAGTATTGGTATGTACTGACAAAACAATGGCACATACAACTATTAACATAACAACTGATCCTACAGAGTATTGGTATGTACTGACCAAACAATGGCACATACAAGTATTAACATAACAACTGAGCCTACAGAGTATTGGTATGTACTGACAAAACAATGGCACATACAACTATTAACATAACAACTGATCCTACAGAGTATTGGTATGTACTGACAAAACAATGGCACATACAAGTATTAACATAACAACTGAATCTGTATCAAATGTCAAACCAATGACACCTGTGTATTATTAACAAAACATTGACAGATGTTCTAAAGGACAAAATAACTTACCTACACAAGTATTAGTTATGTCAACATCTTTTCTATACAGGTATCACACCTGTCAACATCTTTACTACACAGGAAGCACATATGTCAACACCTTTACCACACAGGTATCACACATGTCAACACCTCTACTACACAGGTATCATACATGTCAATACCTTAACTACACAGATATCACACATGTCAACACCTTTACTACCCAGGTATCACACATGTCAACACTTTTAATTCAAAGGTATCATACATGTCAACACCTTTACTACACATGTATCACACATGTCAACACCTTTACTACACAGGTATTTTACCACACAGGTATCATACATGTCAACATCTTAACTACACAGGGATCACACATGTCAACACCTCTACAACACAGGTATCAAACATATCAACACCTTTACTACACAGGTATCACACATGTCAATACCTTTACTACACAGGTATCACACATTTACTACACAGGAAGCACATATGTCAACACCTTTACCACACAGGTATCACACATGTCAACCCCTTTACTACACAGGTATCACACAAGTCAACACCTTTACCACACAGGTATCACACATGTCAACACCTCTACTACACACGAATCGCACATGTCAACACCTTTACTACACAGGTATCACCCATGTCAACACCTTTACTACACAGGTATCACACATGTCTACACCTTTACTACACAGGTATCACACAAGTCAACACCTTTACCACACAGGTATCACACATGTCAACATCTTAACTACACAGGTATCACACATCTCAACACCTCTACAACACAGGTATCACACATATCAACACCTTTACTACACAGGTATCACACATGTCAACAACTCAACTACACATGTATCACACATGTCAACACCTCTACTACACAGGTATCATACATGTCAATACCTTAACTACACAGATATCACACATGTCAACACCTTTACTATACAGGTATCACACATGTCAACACCTTAACTACACCGGTACCATACATGTCAACACCTTTACTTCACAGGTATCACACATGTCAACATCTCTACTACACAGGTATCACACATGTCAACACCTTAACTACACAAGTACCATACATGTCAACACCTTTACTTCACAGGTATCACACATGTCAACACCTTTACTACACATGAATCGCACATATCAACACCTTTACTACACAGGTATCACACATGTCTACACCTTTACTACACAGGTATCACACAAGTCAACACCTTTACTACACAGGTATCACACATGTCAACAACTCAACTACACATGTATCACACATGTCAACACCTCTACTACACAGGTATCACACATGTCAACACCTCTACAACACAGGTATCACACATGTCAACACTTTTACTACACAGGTATCACACATGTCAACACCTTAACTACACCGGTACCATACATGTCAACACCTTTACTTCACAGGTATCACACATGTCAACATCTCTACTACACAGGTATCACACATGTCAACACCTCTACAACACAGGTATCACACATGTCAACACCTTTACTTCACAGGTATCACACATGTCAACATCTCTACTACACAGGTATCACACATGTCAACACCTTTACCACACAGGTATCATACATGTCAACATCTTAACTACACAGGTATCACACATGTCAACACCTCTACAACACAGGTATCACACATATCAACACCTTTACTACACAGGTATCACACCTGTCAACATCTTTACTACACAGGTATCACACATGTCAACATCTCTACTACACATGTATCACACATGTCAACACCTTAACTACAAAGGTATCACACATGTCAACACCTCTACAACACAGGTATCACACATGTCAACACCTTTACTACACAGGTATCACACATGTCAACACCTTTACTACACAGGTATCACACATGTCAACACCTTTACTACACAGGTATCACACATGTCAACACCTTTACTACACAGGTATCACACATGTCAACACCTTTACTACACAGGTATCACACATGTCAACACCTTTACTACACAGGTATCACACATGTCAACACCTTTACTACACAGGTATCACACATGTCAACACCTTTACTACACAGGTATCACACATGTCAACACCTTTACTACACAGGTATCACACATGTCAACACCTTTACTACACAGGTATCACACATGTCAACACCTTTACTACACAGGTATCACACATGTCAACACCTTTACTACACAGGTATCACACATGTCAACACCTTTACTACACAGGTATCACACATGTCAACACCTTTACTACACAGGTATCACACATGTCAACACCTTTACTACACAGGTATCACACATGTCAACACCTTTACTACACAGGTATCACACATGTCAACACCTTTACTACACAGGTATCACACATGTCAACACCTTTACTACACAGGTATCACACATGTCAACACCTTTACTACACAGGTATCACACATGTCAACACCTTTACTACACAGGTATCACACATGTCAACACCTTTACTACACAGGTATCACACATGTCAACACCTTTACTACACAGGTATCACACATGTCAACACCTTTACTACACAGGTATCACACATGTCAACACCTTTACTACACAGGTATCACACATGTCAACACCTTTACTACACAGGTATCACACATGTCAACACCTTTACTACACAGGTATCACACATGTCAACACCTTTACTACACAGGTATCACACATGTCAACACCTTTACTACACAGGTATCACACATGTCAACACCTTTACTACACAGGTATCACACATGTCAACACCTTTACTACACAGGTATCACACATGTCAACACCTTTACTACACAGGTATCACACATGTCAACACCTTTACTACACAGGTATCACACATGTCAACACCTTTACTACACAGGTATCACACATGTCAACACCTTTACTACACAGGTATCACACATGTCAACACCTTTACTACACAGGTATCACACATGTCAACACCTTTACTACACAGGTATCACACATGTCAACACCTTTACTACACAGGTATCACACATGTCAACACCTTTACTACACAGGTATCACACATGTCAACACCTTTACTACACAGGTATCACACATGTCAACACCTTTACTACACAGGTATCACACATGTCAACACCTTTACTACACAGGTATCACACATGTCAACACCTTTACTACACAGGTATCACACATGTCAACACCTTTACTACACAGGTATCACACATGTCAACACCTTTACTACACAGGTATCACACATGTCAACACCTTTACTACACAGGTATCACACATGTCAACACCTTTACTACACAGGTATCACACATGTCAACACCTTTACTACACAGGTATCACACATGTCAACACCTTTACTACACAGGTATCACACATGTCAACACCTTTACTACACAGGTATCACACATGTCAACACCTTTACTACACAGGTATCACACATGTCAACACCTTTACTACACAGGTATCACACATGTCAACACCTTTACTACACAGGTATCATACATGTCAACACCTTTACTACACAGGTATCACACATGTCAACACCTTTACTACACAGGTATCATACATGTCAACACCTTTACTACACAGGTATCACACATGTCAATACCTTTACTACAAAGGTATTTAATTTGTCAACAGATTTGCTAGACATTTATAACAATACCTTACCACCTGACATATTATTACTGTGCATTAGTTTTATTTATTTTAATAACTGTTGTAGTCACACTCTACTGAGTCATGAGTTAGTGTTAATATTTAATGTAACCAGGTTCTATCATAAAAAGTGTGAAAACCAAACAAATCACCCAAAGGTATACAGTCCATGAATTGATCCCAAACACTAAACACAGGTATACTAGTTTTTACCACTCACCTGTAACCTGCCTAGACACCTCCTGTTGGACCATGATAAAGGTTTAACACCTGTCCATACTAACGAGCCTGGAACACAATGTACCATCCAGTAGAAGTTACGATATGTTACTCTGTATCCACACTTTTGTGTGATGTCGTTGAGGTGAGATATGCTATCACATTAGAGAGCCCACCTGTGGTGCCACCTATATCCAGTGATGTGTTTGGTGCCCAAGGTCAAGAGTCACCGCATGAAGACGATTTAGGTGCCTAGAGCTTTCTCCAGCTGCATCAACACATGTCTAACAGGTGTATAGTGCATAGGTCCTTGTATATCCCAACTATAGGCCTAGCAATGTAGGCGCTCTAATGCAAGTGCTGCTCCACGTTTGTATAGCCCCACAAACCAACGACAATAGCATTGTTCATACTGTCACACAGAGCACGGCTAGGTCAGCGCTTTACATCCACAAAATTCTTCAGTGCAAAACATGAATGTTTTAAAGCAGTCCTTCTTCACAGTATTGTGGCATCCCAAGAGTCATTGTGACAATTCCGTTACCATGACAACTGACCGAGCCAGAGGATGCCACTTAGGGTAGCAATGTTTTTGATATTGACAGGAGAAAGAAATGGACAGATCTGTCTGCTAGTGTCAAACAAGTTCATGTAAGTTGTATTTACTGGGTGCTGCCCATCTCAGCCAGCTCATAGTACTGTACTGCTATACACAGGCATTGACGTGACAATGTATATGGTAGCCAACACTGCTTATACTCTAAAAGCTGCAATGTGCTAATTACTCCGGTTCATTACAACAAGCCATCACATATGAGTTGTTCAATTCCTGAATCACTTTAGGCATTTGTTGATTGTCTTCATGAATCTAGGTCTTTACTGATCTTGTAACTCTGGTCTGTGTTGATCTTACAACTATGATCAGAGTTGATCTTGCAATTCTGGTCTTTGTTGATCTTACAAAAATCTCAAAACCTGGTCGATTTAACAAAATTGATGATTTGTTGAATCAGAGTCAATCCTTGAACTCTAGCTCATATCTATTTATCTTAAAAAACTGGTTGATTTAAGGTTGATCTTAAATCTCTGACATTGTTGACTGTACAACTCTGGTCTGAGTTGATCTCCTGTTCAAGCCTGGTCAATGTTGATCTCATTGATCCTGTCTTCCCTGTCAGCTATAATACACATACCAGTCATCCCTGGCTCCTTATTTAATATGTCAATACATGACTGTATGTTCCAAACTTACGTGTGTGATATGTAGGGTGAAAAAATCTATTTCATATTCGTTGCAAGGATGCTCCATCACAACAAACAATGATGTGACCTACTGGTACAGAACTGGACTGGTGAGGCTAGGGTTACTACTGGTACCAGCCAGGACTGGTGATGCTAGGGTCACTCCTGGTACCAGCCAGGACTGGTAAGGCTAGGGTCACTTCTGGTACCAGCCAGGACTGGTGAGGCTAGGGGTACTACTGGTGCCAGCCAGGACTGGTGAGGCTAGGGTCACTACTGGTACCATCCAGGACTGGTGAGGCTAGGGTCACTACTGGTACCATCCAGGACTGGTGAGGCTAGGGTCACTACTGGTACCATCCAGGACTGGTGAGGCTAGGGTCACTACTGGTACCAGCCAGGACTGGGGATGCTAGGGTCACTACTGGTACCAGCCAGGACTGGGGATGCTAGGGTCACTACTGGTACCAGCCAGGACTGGTGAGGCTAGGGGCACTACTGGTACCAGCCAGGACTGGTGAGGCTAGGGGCACTACTGGTACCAGCCAGGACTGGTGAGGCTAGGGTCACTACTGGTACCAGCCAGGACTGGTGAGGCTAGTGTTACTTCTGGTCAGGTGGCACTATTTTCACATAAGTACCTGGTATATAAAATGTATTTAATATATACTGTCTTTCCTTAATATGTATCTGTTACCTGTGAGTTTGTACAATTTTTCGCCAGCTTCAAAATCTTATAATCAATCATTCTGATAAAATGATGCTGAACAAAATTTAAACCTTACAAGAATGCTGTATAATACAAGAGGCCCATGGGCCTTAACGGTCACCTGATATATTTATACAGAGAGTTGATTTTGTTTTTAACATGAACAGAAATATTATTCAAAGTGACAAAAAACAATAAAACCACCTTACTCAATATCTAGCATACAGATTTCAGACTAAAAAGGATTTGAAACTAGCACCT